CCAGAGAAGGGAACGGAGCTGGGGAAGGGGCTGGAGCAGCAGGAGGGGCTGAGGGAGCTGGGGGGGGGGCTCAGCCTGGAGAAAAGGAGGCACAGGGGGGGCCCTCTGGCTCTGCACAACTCCCTGACAGGAGGGGACAGCTGGGGGGGATCAGGCTCTGCTGCCAGGGAACAGGGGACAGGATGAGAGGAAATTGTCTCAAGCTGTGCCAGGGGAGGTTCAGGTTGGACATCAGGAGGAATTTCTTCATGGAAAGTGTGCTCAGGCATTGAAAGGGGCTGCCCAGGGAGGACAGGGAGTCCTCATCCCCGGAGGTGTTCAAGAAATGACTGGAGATGGCACTCAGTGCTCTGGACTGGGTGACAAGGTGGTGTTTGGTCACAGGTTGGACACGATGATCCTAAAGGTCTTTTCCAACCTGAATGATTCTGTTATTCAATGATTCTATGGTTCTAAGGTACCCTAATGGAATAACCTTAGCAGGCCAACACCCCACCCTTCCATCAGCAAAGGAAAAGAGAAAAATCTAGAGACTGTCCTAGAGGCAGAGTGTGTAGGGGCAAGTATTCACACACCTGAAACAGCACTGCAGAAGAAAAGAAAAAAAAAAAAAAAGATAATCAGGCTGCGTGGAACAGCCTGGAACAGCGTATTCCTGAATGGATCCCGCGCCCTCTGCTGGAGCTCATGCCAGCCCAGCCAGGGAGGAGAGAACCGAATACAGATCTGCCATGGAAGCGTCAGAGCTGGGAACAGGCAGAAAGAAGGGAGAAAGCTCAAGGGATATAATGCAGTGCAAAGGCTATTAATGAGGGGAAAAGGAAGCACTGCACAATAGGTGATGAGGGGGGGGATCTTGCTCCCAACAGGGTACCAGAGGGGAATGGATGGACAAAGGGATTTGGGGCTGTCTCAGCTCACTTCACAGCAAAGACCAGACCCCAAAATTTGGACACTACAGCAGAGGGAAATTTGGAATTTCAGGTTTACTAAAACATCAGAAATCTCTGGCATGTCTGAGAACGGTGCCAATCTTTTCTGCAAGCACAGGTGAAATCACTGATTTGGATGAAGGGCGCTGCCTGCACAGCCTCTGGGGAAGGTTCCATCTCCACCTGTGCTGCTCAACTCACTGCAGCCACTTTCCCAGGAAGTTCCATGATGTCCCCTCATGTCCCAACAACAACACTGTGCAGCAGACGTAAGGCAAGCTATCCTTGCAAACTTCTCCAGGCCTCTGGCTTCAGGGATACTCACAGGAGGGGCAGATCAGTAGATGCTGGAATGGCCATCCCCACTTCTAGGGATGCACAGGACAAAGGTATCAGTGAGACTCAGCCCTTTATAGCACAGTGTATTTGTACGTCTGACACCTGGAGCTGCCTCCAGTCTGGAACAGCAGCTTGGTCAGGAGTGTGAGTGGCTGAAAAGCCCTGGGAGCTCTCTTCTCTCCTTCTGTGATGCCCAGGTTTGATTCCTACGTGGACATATAAACAAATGGCAGGACTGTACGGGGTTTGCAGAGCAATCAGAAGTCACAAAGTGAGCAGCTGCAGGAGGCAAACAGCACCTAGTTGATTTGGAAGGAGCTACAGCTACACATCCCTGTATAACAAGTTTAGGATAGGAAGTGACTTCCTGAAACACAGTATCAAAACCTACTGGAAAGGGTGAATTTTTCCAGTAATGAACAAGGAAATGATTCCTCTATGAATATGCAAATTGCTACTCAGCAAATGACCTCCCCAGCTATGGGGAGCTGTTAATGTGCATAAAATCGATACCCAGACAGTTTGTCTGCTCCATTCAAAGGCAAACACGGCAGCCACACTGGCTTGGATTGGTCTGGGGTATGGAATATAATTTCCCCCTTTGGAAAGAGAGAGTGCTGTGCAGACCTGATGGTTTCACCAAAAACCTCAACACTTCACACAGATTTGACCAGGTCACAAAGAGAAATAGACACAGGGTTGTCACATTTCTCTGGTGAGAACTTCACCTCTTCCTTATTCATGAGCTTCAGACTCTCACTCTTGTGACTACTTTCTCCTTTTCCAGGAGTGGATGTCTGTTGCTTACAATAAATTTGAAAATTAGGGATGAACTCTACATAGTGCAGCCAATGTCCATCAAGCTATGGTTCAAGACTCTTTAAGGGTCTGTGGACAAGTTTTAAGGAGCCCAAAAAGGTCACTAAAAAAAAAATAACTGGTTGTCAGCATTTTCTGTACTGCTATTGTCATCCCCAGGAACAATATTTATAGTATCTGCAAATAAAGACTGGGAAACTGTTATTTTACTCAGAGCTTGGGAAAAGTCAGATATAGATCTCTCCAAAGGGTCAAAGCTATATAACACCAGTTAATACCATTAACTGTAGAAGATGGGCCGATTTTGATCTAGACATAAGTTTCCTGTTTCTGCCAAACTTCTGCATGAATAATAAAGTCTGAAGAATAACCACAAGCAGACCACCTAAACGTAGAAGCTGTTTCCCATTTTTAACCATTCCAGGACTTTCTCTTTTGATCCCATGACTGGACATTCCCCTCTAAAATCTTCTGACCTAACCAAGGAAACTCACCATTACCACTGTGCTTGTTTATCTCTCCAAAGAAATCAGTGTCCTAAACCAAAACCTTCCATAACAGAAATTATGGTGACTTTTATGAAGGATATTTTTTGTATTTATCAGGCATTCGTTGATTCAATTCCTTGTTATACAATTACTGTCCTCCTACAGAAGTTAAATTTACTGGACTGCAGTACCCTAGATACACCTCTGGAAACTCTTTTAAAGAAAGTCACCACCTTTGATATTCCGCAGACTTCAGGCAACAATGGAGGATTAAGTGAATGAAATGCTGTACGTAATTCCACAATTTCCCTTGAAAGTCATGAGTGAATATCACTCAGTTCTGATGATCTGTCAGCATTCAGTCTGTCTGCAACACAGTTTCTGCCAGTTATTCAATAGAAGAGATGCTACTCTGTCTTTGATTTCATTTCTTCTAATTAAATGACTCCCCAAATTGTATTCTCTACTGGGATCACTAATTTACTTCTAGGAAAATCATTTTAACAGACCAATTATGACAGAAAATACAAATGCTGTACTCAAAATTAATACATTTATACTCCTCCCTGCTTCTCCTTCTTCCTGACATTTCCTTTATACCTGTATTGCCACGAATGCCATTTAATACTCTGTGGGCCCTTATGGCAGATGCAGCTCAACTGGTCAGCCTTGCACAGCTTATGCCTTCATAATTCACCCTCTAAAAACCTTCTCCCAAACTTACCCTAAGCCGGATTGGTTTAAAAAACCCTCTTTATCTTATCTGCAGTAAGTCAGACTGAAGAGGGTGTCACAAAATTTAACACCATGCAAGAGACTGAAAAAATGTAGGAGGACAGATTCCTGGAGCTCACAGACACAGCCATGGAGTGGCCTCACCTTTTGCTGGAGCTCCCTAAATCCCAGATTTCAGAAGGAAGCCATGAAATGAGTATTTACAAGAGTGAAGATCAGGGCTGTGCTTGCAGCCTGACCAGAAATGCCTTTATCTCCATCACCCATTTACAGTTCTGATGAGTGACCACCTGCAGCAGCCTGAGGCCAGTGAGATGACCATTCCTCCCTTCAGATCTTTGCTACCTGCTAGATAAAAAAAGACATTTTCAAGAGAAAAAAAAAATAGAAGCATTTTGAGTTTTACTAAATAAATACAAAAGGAGGAGAGACGATGGTGATAGGGAGATAAAGGGATTTGCATCATTGTAACCCAAATATGATTGATTTTTTGGGGTGAAGAGATGATTTATGTGATTTGCCTGGACATTATACATCTACCTGTAGTTGTGAGCAATCTCAATTCTACACACGTTGCTGCAGGTTTGGAGCAGTGCTTGTGCAGACTGGCAGTGATGGGGTCTGTAATGATGAGATCCAAAACACAGTTCCTCGGTGGCATTTGTGCCACTCACTTTAGTGCAGTGGGGTTTGGGACAGACACTTCCCTCCAGAGGGGAGTGAAGAATCATCTGGGCTGGACGAAGAAGGGAAAGAGATGAAGCAAAGCAAGCAAGTGTAGTTTGAAATGTGACAGCCGAGAGAACAAAAGACTTTGTAAAACAAGGAAAATACATGGATTAACTCAAATGTGCAAATGTGTTCAAAGCAGTGAGGGCTTTGGGTGAGGGAGAAGGAGCAGACAAGCACATGTACTTACCAGTAACAATGCTGCCACAGTGGTGGGGGAGAAGAGAAAGAAAACAAATCTGTGTGGGAACCATTGCCCTTCAGCAAGACACAGACTCCTGCATCCAATGGGATAATGAGGCTTTTTCCTTGACTGTTGTCTCCTTACTCTCTTCCAGCATGACTGTGAGGCAGACACATGGATAAATGCCATGTACAGGGGCTTACCTTTGTGGCACCTGAGTCCAGAAGCAAGCAAAAGCCGAGTGAGGAGTAATTTGGAGATTGCCACTGAGCACATGCAGTGCCCACGATGGAGCCGGACAGGTCTCATGGAAGGTGGTAACACTCTGTGGAGTGCCCAAGTTGGCTCTGTTTAGTCTTGGTATCCAACCAGATACAGGATGTGGGAGATGCAAAGGCATCTTCACCAACTTCATCTTTCCTTGAGCAAGGGCTGGAATGGAGTCAGACACATCCCTCACCAGCACTACACTGATCTCCAGCCAGTAGTTCACTCCAACCTGATGGCAAGCAGAGCTACCATAGCACAGAGGGACCACCCCTGCGGGACCACCAGGGGGACATGCCAAATTATCTTCACATCTTTCCCTGTGGGAGGAGCTCAGTGCAGCGCTGCAGCACCCACCTCTGAGGAAGGTGAAATTCTGCAAGGGGATGTGGACTGTGCTAAAAAGGCTGTAGACCCATATTAACTCCACATCAAACATTTAATATGAACACAGTAAAGTCCAAGAGGGCAACTAGCCTTTTTGACATAAAAAACCCCACACAACACTTTAAAAAATACTGATTTTATTCATGTCTAACCTATTCAACAGTGGATCACACCGGCAGGAACAACAACAAATATCACGGTACAAGGTTTCACCAGGTTCTCACCTTGCAATGCTGGATTTGAGTCAAGCACATATTATGGCACCACCACTAATGACAATGACTGCTGTTCAAAGCTCACTCGAGTCCCATCTCCCTGGTGCACTTCCAAGCCCAATAACCTCGTTTCCCACTGTGTGTGGGGTAGTCTGCAGAGAATTTGTGTTCTCAAAGCCTGAATGCAGCAAATATCCTGAAGCACAGTCCAGCTAAAAATTCCCTATACCTCATTTGTTTTTTATTTGAAAGGGTTCAATTTTTCAGTGAAACAAGCAAAAAAGCCCCCACCATCAACAATTTCTCAGAAATATTGGACCTGGCCTGTATAAATCAGGTCCAGTAAGGGAGCTGGAATTACTTATCTCACCACATGACCTGGCCTGCAAATTCCAGCTGTTTTCCTTAGAATGATGCATCAGAGCAAGGTTTCACACCAAAAGGAAAGCCTGCCTGTCAATATCATGCCTACTGATGGTGGGCACACAGTATAGCCCAAGGTTTCTGGCCCATGGATTTCCCCAGGATATTCACACTTTTCCAAAGATAACATGAACCTACGCTGACTCTGATGACAGCTGCTCTTGCAAGAAGGGTCCATGGCAGCCCTGATCACTCATGGTGAGCCACATGGCCTTGACACACAGATCAGGATAAAGGAACTTGGAGGCTTCCCACAGCTGGCCTGCACTGAGAGAGCAGGTCCCTTGGGATTGTGGAAAGCATTTTGCCTCCCAAGGACTGCAGGCTCACTTCCACACCCAGGACTACTCAGAAGAGCTGCACCAGGAGCAGAATCCATCTGGCAGCTCAGGGTTTCTCTAAGCCCAGTCATACAAGCCTGTGGGAGCCACAGGTAGTCAGGAAGCTCCTCAGAGATCCAGACCCTCAGCCAGCAGCACAAAGATGTACTGAAGTCCCAGAGCTGCCAAATCAGAGAGAGCTGCCTCCCATCTCTTTTCCCTGACACACTGATGCTGAAAAGTACCAGACAGGCTAAAAGTCACTCAGGGAGATACAGAGAATGTTACTGATAAAGAGTTCTAGAGAAGTTGGATGCCCAGCACCCATCAAACTGCCTTCTGGAATCCCAGCTGTCACATTTAACTTTACTCTTCCCCTCAGGCTTTCCCCTTCCAGAATCAATTCTTCCTACCCCACCTCCCACTCCTCTGTGCAGAGAGCTGGCAACACAAACAAGCTGGATCCACACGTGGTCATGGAAATTTGGCTGCACGGTTGACCTTTGCTGCTTCCAAAGGGAGGGAATTCCAGGTCAGTGCACCCCTCTCTGCCCTTTACTTTTCAGAGGTAATTGGGTTTTCTATCACTTTCAGCATGGCACAGCATGGATTCATGGAGCTTGAAAAGCAGCAGAGGTTTTTATCACCATGGTGCAACGGGAGAAGACTTCAGAGCATTTTCTGGGAACGCCACGTACAGTTATATTACAATTGCAGAATTGTCTGGCTATTGTATCTCCTAAGTCACACAATGGACTACAAACAGTGCTATTTCAGTGAAACTCTCTACGACCACTGAAAATAAGACACTAACTCCATTAGAGCAGGCAGTGGACTCATAGGTTCACAAAAACTGACTACAGATGCTAATGCTTTGTAGGTAAATGAGAAACACCTCTGGTTTGGGCCCATCCCTCAGGCAGCAGATATTTTGCATGAATAGGATGATTACTACTTGTAGAGCTATATGAAACATCTACTTTTTTATCCAAGTTATGAAAGCACAGCTTTGAAAAGCACAGTAATCCAAGGCCAAAAAGGCAGACAAATGGACAGACTTCGGCCACTCATTTGGTTTTCTTAGAGAGAGCTCTTTGCTCTTTTAAGGGCTGACTGTATGCATTTGCCAGGTCTGGATGCTCCACTTGAAAAAAAGGCTTAAAAGAAGTTTCAAGAGCAGTCTCTTCTGGAGGTGTCCTGTGTCAATCTCCAGCTTCCCACAGGACTCGGTGCTTGTCTGGGGCTTTTGAGGAACAGCTCATAAATTGCTGCTATTTAGCCACTGGCAGTTGAATCCTGCTTTATTTAGTTTTCCCAGAAATAAGACGTATTGGAATCTTGTAGGGGATTCTCTCTGCTTCCTTCCTCCAGTCCCTGCTCACATTTAGTTTCTGTTTCCTGGAACTAAGAGTGTTGACCCCTTTAAAAGCAGCAGCAGCAGCAAGAAAACCACAGAGCAAGGAAAACAGCTTCCTGGCCAGAAAGGTTGTACTCCCTGCATAGAGAGAAACTCCACCAACTTTACAGGAAGAAGATGCAACAACCTCTTTTGCAGCATCCTGACATGACAGCCTTGCAGCATACAGAATCCAGCCTAGCAAGGAAAAATAAAAAAGGTGTTGTGTTAAAAAAAATTACACAAGAAAAAAGTGTTCTTTTACATGGATCACAGTAAAGCCACAACAACCTAAGGGTTTATTTCTTCCTGAGAATGTTTGAAGGGGATGAATTTGAAATCTGTTTTCAACTGCAGCTGGCTAAAATGGAAAGTGCTACATTTCTTTGCTTACCTTGATGCCTACTGGGATTGGCTTTAGGGCAAATTTTTCCTTGCAGCTCCTGGAAATTACACACTTGTCTTCTTGCATGAGATGAAATATATTTATTAGAAGGTTGCAAAATTTGTTAGGATACATTGCAGTGCTGTGCTCTTCAAGGACAGAGGCACAAGGTCTGATTCTTACTGTAACTGGGACTTTGGGAATTCCTAGAGCCATTTTCATGGCATCTAATTTTAGGTCCTTTTAAGATAGATCTGTAATGGCAATTTGCCTTATAGTCCCTCCCTCTGTGCCAGGGGCAGGAAAGTCTATCAAAGTAGATGAGGGAATTTAAAATTTTTACTTTATTTTTTAAAAACTAGATCTGAAACAATTTATGAGACAGCAGAACAAAAAAAAGTTGGGTCTGCAAGAACTCTTCTTCCTTTAGAGACTTCTCCATTGTCACACTTTTGTGCAGTCCATTCCAGCTGCATCTGTACCGGTGACTCATAAAACCTAAAAAGCTATTAATAAGTTATTAAAAGTATCAGCAGTCTTCCACAACAAAAGAAGGAGAAAGAAAAAAATGGCTGGAATAAATTAAGGACTGCACCCTGTGGAAGGGATCTACACTGGAGCAGATCATGAAGAATTGCAGCCCATGGGGAAGGCTCATGCATGGAAGTTCCTGTAGGACTCACTTCCATGGGAGGGACCTCCTACTGGCAGGGTTAACCCACCACAGCTACATGGATAAGATATGATCTTAAATTCACCATTTCAGGACTCCTGAGTGCTAAACAAAACTCTGAGGTCCAGACTTAATTGTGTGAGCAGGGCTAGTACAGAGCTTAAAGAAGTTCAGCTTGTGCCTGACAAAATGCTGAGCAGCTCAAGCCTTGCACTGCAAGGAGTTTGCACCATTTATGTTTTTACACAGCATTTTCCACCGTAATTCTCTTTCCTACTCAGTGCAGAGGTTTGAAAGCAACTTATTCCATTATGAAAACCATACACTTTCCCATCCTGAGCTCCCACAGCTCTTGCTACTGCTTGGCAATGACTCAAGTAGCCAGAAAAAGAAAAAGAACAGGCTGTAAAAAGTGTGGCAGTGAGAAAGCTCTGGGCCAGAAGGTTGTTTGTCACATTGCCAAAGCCCAAAGGAGGAGAAAGAAGTGGGAGAAACATCAGAGATGGGAGAAGCCTACAAACTGAACAAGATTTGTCAGGAGTTCTGCCTAGGTCCAAAAGGAGAAAATGTCAACAGCAAAAAAAAAAAAAAAAAAGCATCCTTATATGAATATAAATATACACCAACACATTTGCATCTGCTCTTCAAAAAGTTTTCGAAGACAAAGAGAAGCCAGGTCTACCAACAAAATGCACAACTTGCGTACTTTGAGTTCACCACAATTGTGAGCAATCTCTGCTTTCCAGGCTAAATATGTGCTGATCTTCAAAGCAAAATTCCCTCAGAGAGTTTTCTTACATGTCAATTTTTTTCTTGTGGATTTATATGTTGGAGAAGAGAGTTTTCACTCCAGGGATTGCAGAGGATCAAAAAATTGAGATGTTGAAGCCAGCTCACAGTTTTCAAGAGATTCAGAGCAGCAATATTGAATCCCAGTGATTGTTTGGAGTTTGGTAAAGCAGAGACCCGATCAGATAATCCAGAGGCAGAAAGATATGTCTGCAGCAGCTGCATGAACCTCTGCCAAATGCCTGGATTTCCCAGCAGTGTGAGCAATCACAGTGGTGGTTTGGTCTGATTCTTGTTCTAGTTTTACACTTAATGAATGACATGGATCTTCCCCAAAGGTAGTAGAGATGTTCCACTGGGAAAGAGGAGAGGATGAGACTCTAAATAGTCAATGTTTGATGTCTAGGATCTCCTTTTATCCATTGTGTATATTAAAAATCGAAAAATGCTTAGAAATTGTAAAATATACTCTCTTACAGCTTGTTTCTGACCTGCAGGGAGATGATTCCTGCTCCTTTATGGTTTGTAAATTCATTTGGGAAAACTCTCTGGCAGCAAACATGACTCCTTTTGAACTGGAAGTGCTGCATATTTAAAGTGTGTAATGTTACCTCCTGTTCAAAGCAAGGGTTGTGCAAAAGAACCATGGTCCCAGTAACTAAAAAGGTAATGAATTTTACAAACAGGTTTTTGAGTTTAGTATGAAAAATTTTCTTGAATTATCTGTAAATTGAAAAGCCAAAGTCTAAATTTTTCTGGCCAACCTTTCATTGAGTGTTCTAGAAACAAAGCATCTGCAGAGATCAAACACTGCAGCCTTAAGCAGATTTCTGCAAACAGCTTAGAAAGTATAACTGAGCTGTTTTATTCAGTTACAGTAGAACAATTGTTCACACAGCAAATGTTGGGAAAAACCCAACCAGTTGCGGCCAGCAAACCTCACATTCCAAATCTGTCCACTAAACCAGGGTTTAGCCAGCACAGCACAGCAGAGACTGGCATGAAATCATCCTATATCCAAATTTATGACAGTGTTGGAAAGCACCATCAAAATAATGATTACTTTCACTCACACAGAGAAAGTAACAGGAAAGGTTTTGACTGGGCCAGAAGAGTGGCAGGTGGAACAAAGATTTTTCTATCTCTATAACTCTATAAATACAAAAGTAACAAAGCACCTAAAAGGAATGGGCATAAAGGGAAATGTGAAGCATAAGAGAAACAAAATACCAAAGTACTCCTTCCTATTACTTACTCATTACTCAGTTATTGCTTACTTACTTTTAAATACCATTTAAAGTACAAAACTAAACCAAGAATTTCCCATGTGGTGAATGGCATTGGATGCTCAGCTTGAAGTCTAAAGGGGCTGAGTTCCAGAAAGCAGAATGCAGGTCTTGTACACCAAAAAAACCCCTGCTAAAGTGCTGTTATTTTTTACAAGGCAGACCTTTTTTACAAGGTGCATCTTCATTTATGTGTAGAGGGTTGCAGGGGATTGATTTTGGACACCCATTTCTCTATCCTTTATTGTCATTAATTTTGAGAGCCCGATACTGATGCCTCAATTCATAATAAATATCTCACCACTCCTCAGTGAAGTTTTCTGAGACCAGAGATGTGAAAAATTGAACTATGCTCTGGAATGAGATCTAAACTCACCTGGGCAACTTTTCAAACCTATTTCAGACACCTTCTACATTTATGAATTGAACACATGGAATAGCACTCATGTTTAAAACCAAACTGCTGGCTCCTGTTACCATGCAAGGTCTTGGAATCCCCCTCAGTGGTGAGATATGCAATCCCATTCAGACTGTACATTCAACAAGTAAGAAGATCTGCAGAGAGAAGCAACTTCTAATGAGTTAACTGAGAATAATTTCAGGCGTTGAATGTCCCTGGGTATGGCAAAAATGTGGGGAAAGTTACTTTGAGTGGATGTAACTCCACTGAAGCAAATTTTACTCATTTTCATTAGGACAGACCCCTGTGGCAGCCAGGCTATCCCACTGTGCAGAGATAAGGGAGAGGTGATTAAACAGACCACATCCAATATATTTATAGTGCCCATCTTAAAGCAGAGAAGCAGAAAAGAGCAGCAGGATTGTGAAGTAAGCAGGTCTGTTCCTAAAGAGAGGATGAACTCCTTACAGTGTTTCTCTGTTGCAAAGCACACATCTAATAATCTGGCATAACTAGGTGGAAAGATCCAGCACAGTCTCATGTGAGATTGCTTGTTTTAGCTTGACTGAACAAATCAAAATATTCAATTCAAATATTCAAAGGAAATTCCCAACACTGCACCATCTTTCCTCAAATTAAACCCCCAATTTAACCCCACACAGTGCTGGCCATATGCAGCTCACACTTCTCTCCCTGGGAACCATCTGGGGCTCCCTTGAGGAATCCCAACTTTCCAGAACATGTTGTTTTTAATTCTGACATTAAAAAGACAATGTTGGGTTTAATGACATTGTGCAAAGACTGCACTGACTTGTTCCAGAAAATGCACCATGTGGCAAGTCCCACATCCATTCCCTAAATCCGACCCAAGCCTAAGTGCTTGTCCTCAGCTGCCACCAAAGCAGCTCCTTCAAAGCTAACTCTGAAGACAAAAAACACAGAAAATCTTGATTTTTTCTACATAAAAGGAAACGGATTAATCCTGAGGCAGACAGTGCTGCTCATGCGAGCGGAGCCTTCGTGGCCGGGCTGGTTTTGGATGGGGTACAGTTAATTTCCTTCCCAGGGGCTATATTTCGTGTTTGTACTGGGGTTAATAATACAGGGATGGTTTTGGTTGTGCTGACACAGATCCAACTGGTTTTCCTACGGTCACACTGCAAGGGGGCTGAGGGTGTGTGCCAGGAGACGCAGCTGGGACAGGTGACCCCAAGTGACATTCCAGACCTTATGGCATCATCATTATCAGTGCATAACATGGGGGAAGAAGATGGAAAGGGATGGATGTTCAGGGTGATGGCATTTGTCTTCCTATGTCACTCTTAGGTGGGATGGGCCCCTACTCTCCTGGGGATGGCCGAGCACGTGCCTGCCCATGGCAAGCAGGGAATTAATTCCTTGCTTTGCTTGTGTGCACTGCTCTTCCTTTCCCTAGAAAACTGCCGTTATCCCAACCCAGGGTTTTCCAGCTTTACCCTTGCCATTCTCTGCCGTATCCTGCTGGTGGGGAGTGAGGGAGCACCCACCGGGCACCCGTGCAGGCGTCCCTTGTCTCATACCTCCGTGGCCCACAGGAGGGCACTGCGACACTCCACAAACTCCTCCCGGGCACTCGGCGCCTCTTCCTGACAGCAACAGTCAGTATTTTTCCCAAAGTCAGACTTT